AACCCACAAGGAAGACCAGTTATTATGACCTTTATTAAAATTACCCACCATCCAAAAGAGAAAAAGAAGATTTTCAGCATTCTATTGTTTGAGACATATAATCAAGATGCATTCATAATTATTGGATATTGGATAAAAGTTTTGGTAGTTTGGAAAATATGGTCTTGGTGATAAAAATGATGCATTAGATTGTATGATAGAATTTTGCAAGATAAATGATGGCACCCAATGTGAACTATTACTTTTTGATTCAAGTTGTTTGTTTTTCCTTAACAACACAAATGGTGACTATATACATGTAGCCTTCACTGGTAGAATGCACCAGAATAAGCTCAATATTGTGAATCAGAACAAGGCCAGGGGCTGGCCGTGGGAGAGGTCCATCAACTGCTCATATGCTATTTCAAGTTGAAACTGAAGAAAATGGGTCCAGACCAGCCAAAGAATGACCTTAGGTACATCTCACTTGACTTTCTCAAGAACAGTTTTGATACTCTGGACATAGACAACTGAAGACCAGACAAATCGTCCTTGATGACATGAAGGACATCAGACCTAAAGAAAGGAAAAGGCCATTAAAAAGATGAGAGGGGCGAAAAAAGACCAAGTCAGGAGAGATTGTAAACTTGCTCCTGTAAATGGAAGAAATGACGAAACAAAGTTGGACAGAAGATTTCAGAATGTCTCCAAAACACAAAGTACTAGGGGAAAATGTGAAACCGCCTGGAGTAAGAAAGTCAACAGAGAAGAATGCACTCAACATTTCTCAAGCAAAAGGACTGAAGAAAAATTTCAGGACTCCACTTAAAATACTGAGAGATTCTCTGGGCAAAGATTTAATGATGCAGGAAATGGCAAGATAAGATGACAGGAATACACAGTGTCATTTTATACCTAAAAAAGTGGTCAATGTTAAGTCATTTCAAAAGGTAGCAGATGATCAAGAACTAAGGAAGTTGAAAGAACAAGTCTAAACTTCATTGAAGGTATTAATGGAAAATAAGGCTCCAGTGTTTCTTAAACAATTACTATGTCTCAACAACCTGATGAAATCCTAAAGGTACCCACTTGTTTATGCCAAGAAATTTGAAAAACAGTAAGTTACCTGGCTAATTGATTGGAAGAAATCCACATTTATATCCATTCTAAAGAAAAAGGTCATCCAACAGAACATGGAAATTATTGACAAATACCAATATCATACACAAGTAAAATATTGGTGAAGATTACTGAAAAACAGTTGCAACAGGGTCCAGATTGATTCAGAAGAGGATGTGGAATGAGGGATGCCATTGCCGACACCCTCTGGATCTTGTGAGAAGCAAAGAATTCTAGGAAGATGTTTATCTGGGTTTTACTGTCTATGCAAAAACACTGGACTGTGTAGATCATAACAAATTATGGGAAGAATGGAGATTCAAGAATGCTTCATTTTACTCATTCCAAACCTGCACACAGACCAATAAGTAGTCATGGCAAATAACAAGAGGACATTGTGTGGTTTAAAGTCAGAATTCTCCCACCAAACTTGTTTAGTCTATATGCTGAGTAGATAAAATGAAAAGTGGAAATATATGAGGAAAAATGAGACAAAATTGGAAGGAGACTCATTTACAACCTGTGATATGAACATGACACAACCTTGTTTGTTGAAAACGAAGAGATCTCTAGCTCTGATGAAGATCAAAGACTATCTGACCTTTCATCGTGGAAAACAACTGCACACAGAGGAAAAAAACGTGCACAAGGGACCAAAAGCAACATCTTGGTAAACAGAGAAAATGATGGGTTTCTTTTGTCTTAGATCCATACTCAGCGCTCATGGAGGTTGTTGTGTGCCATTGAGTTTGACCCATAGCGTCACCCTCTGGTAGGTTTTTAGAGGCAGTTAATTGCATGGGAAGAGATTGGCCATCAGTCTCCCTCAGAGCAGCTGGTAGATTCAAATCATGAGCCTTCAGAATTGCAGCACAGCTTCTTGCCACTAGGCCACCAGAGCTCATGGAGTTAGCAGCAAGAAATCAAAAAGCATAGTGCATTGGACAAATAGTCCACAAAAGACCCCTTTAAAGTGTTGAAAAGCAAAGATGTCTCTTTGAGGACTAACGTGCACCTGATTGCCTCACATGTATGCATAAACTGGACAGTAAGGAAGATGAAAGAAGTGTTGTCTTTAAATTATGAGGCTGGTGAAGAATAATTATATTATGCACTAATAGAGCAAACTTGCCTCTGGAAACCCTATGAACCTAGAGAGAGGATGAGAGACACCCAAGTGTTGAGGACTCTCCTTCATAGGGTTGCTATGAGTCGCCTGTGACTCGATGGCACTTAACAACAACAACAACAACAACAACAACAACAATAGAGAGAGAGAGAGATCAGCTGGCCCAGTGGACAGAAAGCAATGCTACCTAGCTAAAGGTGGGTGATTTTTAATCTGTGGCACTCAGGCCTGTCTTTCATTGTTTTTGTTCAGACATTCCTGTAGGTCATATAGCCCTGGTGTACAAGTTGCCGTACAGTGGTCACCTGTGGTTGCCGTGAGGCTGAGCACTGTGACACTGATGTGTCAAATGCGTTAATGGCTGGTTACCCAATGCGGACAAAGAGTGGGGTGGAGCTCCCCGATGAAATCAAGCTTGGAAGGAGGAGTGGCATCCACTTCCGTAATAACTTGCCTCTGGAAACTCTATGAACCTGGAGAGAGGATGAGAGACACTCAAGCATCGAAGACTCTCCTTCATAGGGTCACTATGAGTCACCTGAGACTAGACGGCACTTAACAACAACAACAGAACAAAGAATAAATCTGTCTTGGAGGAAGTGAAACCAGAATGTTCCTTAGGAGAGAGGACGGAGAGTCTTTGTCTCAATGACTTTGGAGATATTGACAGGAGGAGCCAGTCCCTGGAGAAATAGCATGCTTGGTAACTGGAGGGTCAGCGAAAGAGGAACATTTTCAATGACATGGATTGACACAGTGGCTACAACGATGGCAGTGAGTGTGAGGATAGTACAGGATTTGACAATGTTTCCTCTTGATGTACATGAAGCCACTACAGGCCAACTCAATAGCACTTACGAATAACAATAGTAATTAAAGTTTGTATCTTCGGAGACTATGGGTTGAAAGAGAGTTTGTTAGATAATAACACAACCATCACATAATTTAGAGCAAATGACTACGCAACCCATTCTTTATGGAAATGTTTTTCAGACATGAAGTTGCCAGTCCCAAACCACCAGTTACCATCTGTGTAGTCTCTGCTTCCAAAGGAATCAGGAATGATGAACACAAATGTGTGCGTGCGTGCGCGCACACACACACACACGCGCGCGCACACACACACAGTATTACAGATTCATAAATAATATTTCTGCATCTCTGGAGTGCACTGTTTGACAACATGCAGGGATGGATTGCCAGTATATTTAAGATCATGCAGATGCTGAATGTCTTGGGGCGGGGGCGGTCACTGAGACTTGAACATTGACTCATCCTGATTATAACCCAAGATGTTGTTGTTGTGTGCTGTGGAGTCAGAACTGACCCATAACCCAACATAGGGTTCCCTTTTTTCTCCAGTGTACGGGAGGTTTAGGAGTTTCTGTGCAAAAGAATAAAAGTAAGGGCATCTTTCAATAAGCTTAGTGGATGGTATATCTCTTGTTCAAAGTAACTAGTTAGTGTCATTTATCCATTCTAATTATGTGCATTATGGAAAAGTGCTTTCATGAAACGTGTCTTCCATGGACGGTTTCAACAGTCCTGAGGGCAGGTCGAGTAGGTCTTTCCCCCATTCCATGCTATCCGAAGAGACCAGTTCTTGGAGAAGGACATGATGCTCGGTAAAGCGGAAGGTCAGCAAAGCAGAGGAAAACCCTCAACACAATAGACTGACACAGTGGGTGTAGTAATGGGGGCCCAGACTCAGCACATCCTGGGGATGGTGCAGGAGCAGTCATGTTTGAGCTGTTGTACCCAGGGTCTCTAGGAGCTGAACTGACTCGATGGCCCCTAAGAGCAAAGCAACTATTAAACCAAAGCAAAACCGGGATTGGAACCCAGGCCTTTACATTCCAAAACAGAGCTCATTTTGGAAAAAAGGGTGTGATCTAGGAACTAGATCCAGCTCTTAGTAAAAGGGTCCTAATTATTATGTTCACTGCTAGTGATAAGCTCCATCTCTGTGCACCTTCCTTGCTGATACTTGAGTCTCTGAAATCCTTTACATCGAGATGCCAGGAACTGGCTTTGTTACTCAGCTCAGGATTGCTTGTCTTCACCCAAGAGTCAGTGAGAAAGAAGTTTTTGTTGTCAACTTTGAAAGTACATCATTGGAGATCACCATATCAGGCAGTCTGGTTGTGGGACCAGTTCATTTCTGACACCCTGAACCCTAGGGAATGTCCTGGGGAGGTGGTAGGAGCTGGGCGGGCAAACCCAATTCTTCTCAAGAAGCACAAACCCACTGGCGACTTTATTTCCATCTTTCCATGATGTCTAAGCGCCTTGTTTCCACAGACTTCTGAAATCCCTGCCCTGCTGCGACAGAGATTCAGGGATGATAGAGGGTGAACCTGGATAATCACTTTTGGTCTCTGCCCAGATGTAGACCCATGTTGACTCCAATAGCAGTTTTTAAATTGGTTTTTGCGCATAACAGGTAATGAGTGCACGACAGCTCTGCTTGACCCTCTCTCCTCTCTAGCCTCACTGTTGTGGTTGTGTACACAGCAGACATTCGGTAAATGTCAGTTGCTATTACTGGTGTCTAGTCTGGCTGGTTCAGCTGTACACACAATAGGTGCAGAGCAAGTATCAGTAAAATATCACCTTCTTCTGCTCATGTGGGTCCCACTGACTGCTCTGTCCTTTAAGGTCCAGCTCCTTGAGGACAGTGGCATGTAAACACTGTCATCCTTTCCTCCTAAACGTGAGGGTGGCTGGCGGCAAGTGATGCTTCTGGGTCTTCTTGCTGTGAAACTCCACGAGGTCACTTCAGTCTGATACAGTCCACCTCTTCAGTGTCGGGCATGATGCTGGTCTTGGGGTCAAGGTCGGCGCTGGACTTGCTCCCATGGTGGGTGGGCCGCCAGTGCAACAGCATCATCTTCTTGAAGTACTTCATGGTGTTGTTCTTGACCGTCACGAAGCACACGGTGTTGATCATGCTGTTGCTCATGGCGATGCACTCGACCACGTAGAAGGCGGTGAGATAGTGCTTCTCCTTGACGAACACGGCGGGGAAGAAGTCGCGCAGGAGCGTGAAGCCGTAGAAGGGCGCCCAGCACAGCACGTAGGCCGAGAGGACGCACATCAGCACCAGCACCGTCTTCCTACGGCAGCGCAGGCGCTTGCGGATCTGCTCCGTTTGGAAACCGGGCACCGACTTGAACCAGAGCTCCCGTGAGATCCTCGCGTAGCACAGGGTCATGGTTACCACGGGACCCACAAACTCGATGCCAAAGATGAAGAGGAAATAGGACTTGTAGTAGAGCTGCTGGTCCACGGGCCAGATCTGGCCGCAGAAAATCTTCTCATGGCTTTTGACGATAAAGAGGACGGTTTCTGTGGCAAAGTAGGCTGAGGGGATGGCGATGAGGATGGACACGATCCAGACCAAGGCGATCAGCAAGGAGGCCGTTTGATAATTCATCCGTGGCTTCAAGGGATGGACAATAGCAAGATACCTGGTGGGAGAAAGAAGCCAAGAACAAGAATCATCACAATGAGTTTGCCTGGAAAGAGTATCAGCTTCTAACAGACCCCAAACCCACACAACAAGGAAGACAAAGTGGCACCAAGAAGCTCCAAGCACCCATTATCCAGGGTCAACAAAACCTGATCTTATTTTAGCAAAGTCGTTTGGCATGTGGAATAGCAGAGTGCTTTACTGGAAATAGCGCAGGTTGGGGTCAAGCAGAATGAGGAAATCTAGGCTCTTCACCTGATTGGCGTTTGTGACTTGAGCCAATCTCACAAACACTATCTGTCATGGCCAAGCGGATGAGTTTCCTATGGTTGCTGTAACAAATGACTAGAAATGTAGTGGCTTAAAACGAGGAAAAATGTATCATCTTACAGTTTTGGAGGTTGTAAGTCCACAGTGGGTCTCCCTGGGTTAAAATAAAGGTGTTAGCAAAACTGGATTCCTTTTTGGAAATGTGTTTTCATGCCTTTTTCTAGCTTCTGGAAGCTTCCTGTGTTCCTTGCCTTGTGGTCTCCTTCCACGTTCAAAGCCAGTAATCTGGTACTTAGTAACTGGTACTTAGTATTTTGCCTCCCTCTTCATTTAGGAATGCTATCATTATGTTGGTGGGTTCTCCCAGATAATCCAGTATTACCTTATTTTAAAGCCAGTGGATTTGCAACTGTATTTCCATCTGCTTCCTTAACCCTCCTTTGCCATATCACCTAATGTGCACAGGTTCTGGGCAGTAGGCTATGGACATATTTGCAGGGTATGTTATTGGACCTCCCACACTGAATCCAAAGTACAACTGAGGGCGCCATAGCTTTCTCCATCTGGGCTTATCATAAAAAGTACTGCAATCAACAGTGCCAATGAGAACGTTCACATTCCTGCTTGTTCTGTTGTGAACACTTAAATTCTGATTACTTGTCATGCAACTGAATCTTCCGCATTCCGGAGGATGTTTCAAAACTTATGATTGCCCCAATAAATCAGAAGGAAAGAGCACTGGCCTTAGAGTTTTCATAAAACCTGGATTCCAGGTCTATGTACTTAGTTAAATCAGTTATGTCCTTGGGTATTGATTTGTTCTACACATGAGCTAGGGATAATGATAACAACTGCATTGACAATCATTCAGTCTTTTGTCAGTATCAGAGAAGATACATGATTAGAAAGCATACTGGGAGCCACCCATTGGCCAGAAGGATGCCTGCGAAGTCTTTCTCACTGTCTACCAGCTTGGATGTGTCTCTCGGGGCCAAGGCTCCCATTCTAGGATCCCTATGAATTGAAGTTGCTGCACTTCCTGACCACCTCTGCACGAGTCTAGTGCTTCTTCTGGTTTTGCAGGAAGAAATGGTACTAGGTGGCCCTTCTGATATGTCTACATAGTGAGACAGGTTTATTTTCCCCAAGGGGTAAGTTGAAGTGCACAGGGAGACCTGGGCTGTGTGAAGGCTCCCAGGTCCATCTACTTATGGAATTAACCAGCCTTAAACTCTCAGATTCAAGCCCTGTTTCCAACATTAACATTATCATGGTAAAGGTGGTAAAAGTTCGACTATCCATCCTTTTTAGCATTTTCCTTTGCTTTTCAATTGCTTTAAAACCTGCGTAGGGAAGAGAAATGTCCTTTGAACCATACCATCCTTCTTTAGAAAGCATTCCCAGGCTACGATAATAACACAATGCTCACATCTTATTCTTGATTTATCACTTGGTTTTTCCTTATGCTTCATAAATGCCAGTTTTGTCAGGAAGAAAAGCTCCCTGACATCCAGGGCTTTACTCTCTCCTACTTTCTATGTACATAGTTCGGGCAGACAGAAGCCTTCAGCCAGATGTCTGGCCTATGTATTTAAGTATTGCTACCCTCTAGGATAAGTTGTAGGGAGCTCTGGTGGCCTAGTGGTAAGAAGCTGCGCTGCAATCCTTAAGGCATGCAGTTTGAGGTCACCAGCAGCTCAGTGGGAAAAGGATGGTCAGTCTCCTCCCGTGTGATTAACTGCCTCTGAAAACCTATTGGAGGGTCAGCTATGGCTCAGCTCCTACCTGACAGTCAACAACAACAACAACAGGATAAGTTGTAGGGCGTTCTGGTGGTCTAGAGGTAAGCTGCGCTGCAATCCTGAAAACATGCAGTTTAAGGTCACCTGCTGCTCCGTGGGAGAAGGATGGGCGATCTCCTCCCGTGCCATTAACTCTCTCTGAAAACCCACGGGAGGGTCAGCTATGGGTTGGTTCTAAACCTTCAGTACACAACAACAACAACAATAGGGCAAGTTGTTACATCTGATGCTTCTTACGAGTGAAAAGGAAGCCTGTTGGGCTTCTGGATTTTTTGAGTAAAATGTACTTCATTTTTCATTCTGTCGTATTTTTGAATGACTAAAAAAGTTACTAATTTCAATGGGGCCTGGTATAAAAAAGGCTTCAGAACAGGTCCAGGCTACTGTGCAGTAATGCAGCGTGTGATTAGACTCGGTGTCTTCAGAAACCAGCAGAACCCCAACAGTGAATCCCAGATGGGGGAGCAGCATCTCCACGTGAGTCTTGTTTCAGGGTCTGTTTTGGGGGACAAGCAAAAGTAAAACACAGACATATGGCTGTGTGTTACAAACTGTGGAAACAGACAATAGACACGGTTGATGGTCTTAAAAGAGAAAGCCTTTTGGAATGGATTCTGTATCTCCATAAGACCACATGGCTGGAAAGACAAGTTAACATTGGATTTAAAAGACTCTGAATGCTGGGCCCAAGATTTGGCATGTAGCATGCAGGCACTGAACTTTTGGGAGGCTTTGTAAGCAATGAAGTTCTTCAGATTTGCCAATTTGAATGTTTAAATGTTGTTGTTGTTGTTGTTGTTATGTGCCTTTGTGTCACTTGAGACTCATAGTGACCCTGTGTACAACAGCCCTGGACCCTATTCTATCCTGTGTAAACCTTAGTGTCTGTGACACACCTACTCTCATTACCACAGTCACTGAATCAATCCATCTCATCAAGGATCTTCCTCTCTTGCACCGTCCTTCCACCTTCTAAGCATGATGTTCCTCTCCAGAAACTGGTCCCTCCTTGCAACATGCCCAAAGTATCTCAGATGAAGCCTTGGAATCCTTGCCTCCAAGGAGCAGCCTGGTTTCATCAGAGGATGAACCTGCTTGTTCTCCTAGCAGTCCATGGTATATTCTATACTCTTCTCCAACACCACAGCTCAAAGGCATCAATTCTTCTTTTATCATCCCTAGTTATTGTCCAGCTTTCTGATGCATAGCAAGTAATCGCAAAGACTATGGTTTAATATGTAGCATTATGTTTTATGGACAGTCCAGAGCCCTTGGTAGATGAAGACATAGGTTAGGAGAATATTATGATAGTCTAGCTAGACCTTGTCAAGAGAATTGTCAGACTTTGGTATAGGGCTGGCCACATAAGGAAGGGTCAACAGGAATGGAATAGGGAGAGAAGTCGACTGAATTTTTGTTGTTGTTGTTCTTTAAGGGGTAGAGAGAATGGTGGGACTCCAGGTGGAATTGAGAGATGACTAAGAAAGAAGATCTTTGGCACGAAAAGGGAACTTCTCTGTTATCTGTTGTTCTGTTGAGGCTAACATAGGGGATGTTTCCCAGAAAATTCCAAAGACACTAGAAAACCCTGTTAAAAAGACAAATATTCCAACGAGACAAAGGGGATGAGAATAATGACAACTTCTACATTATCATCAGAATCACTCAGGTACCAGAATAGGGGTTCTTATTTTGTGGGGCTGGGAGGGCAAGGTCAGGGCATCTCCTTGATTCCCTGGTGAACTTTGTGTAATTGGTCAATAGATGCACATCTCGTATGCATCAGTTTTGGGTCCTGTTGAGCCTCAGAATAGTAATAAATATCATTTCCCTTGCAGAAATTTTAGATTATGAAAAAAGGAGATAATTTTTGTAAATCTCAAACTCAACTCACTGTCATTGGGTTGGAACAACCCAATCCTCTGGTGAGTTTTCAGGGGTTGTAACTTGCACAGGAGGAGACCGTCCATTTTTCTCCTGAGAAGCAGCTGGTGGATTCGAACTGGTGGAGAGGTGCTGCCTTTGGGTCAGCAGTGCAACTCCCTACAGACTATGCCAACAGTCCTCTGTGTAGCTTACCACCATTCGCCAAATAAATTAATATATAGACAGCCTTCAGTATGGGTTGAGGCTCAATGTCAAGAAGACAAAGATTCTCACCACTGGACCAACTGGCAGCATCAGGATCGATGGTGAAGAGATTGAGATTGTTAACAACTTTAGTCTGCTTGGCTCCACGGTCAACACTCTTGGCACCAGTAGCCAGGAATTAAAAAACATATTGTGATGGGAAAGTCTGCTGTTAGGGACCTCTCCAGGGTACTGGAAAGCAATGGTATCAGGCTGGAGACTAAGGTGTGTCTGATACAGGTCATGGTCTTTGAAATCACTTGTTATGCATCAGAGAGTTGGACAATGACTAAGGAGGCTAGAAGGAGAATTGATGCCTTTGAGCTGTGGTGCTGGAGAAGAGTATTGAATGTACCATGGACTGCCAAGAAAACAAACAGATTCATCCTAGAGAGAGTTAAACCAGGCTATTCCTTGGAGGCAAGGATTCTGAGGCTTCGTCTGACATACTTTGGACATGTTGTAAGGAGGGAGAGGTCCTTGGAGAGGGGCATCATGCTTTGGAGGGTGAAGGGACAGTGCAAAAGGGGAAGATCCTTTATGAGGTGGATTGATTCAGTGACTGGGGTAATCTGGATGGGTGTGTCGGAGGCAGTGAGATTGGCACAGGAGTGTCCACTGGGAACCCAGGGAGGAAGCGAAGGAGGGAAGGTGAAAGGAGATAACAGAGGATTAAGATGATTAAAAAGCATACCATCTGTGCAACAATGAATGGAAATTCCAAATCTCTGTAAATGTTCATTAAAATTAATAAATTTTAATAAAAATTTAAAAAAGCATACCATCCAAATTATTTTAGCATCTCTTACAACGGCAGACTGTAATCTAAACCTAGCACCAGCTGAGCAAGCTGGTGCTTATCTCCAACATCAGTCTCCAATGGTCCCCATATATGCAACATGTGTGAGGTCTGGCCTAGGCTGCTAGTACATATTTTCATTTACAAATCGGTAATACAGCGAGAACTTCTGGGACATGTCATGCAAATGTATACAAATAAGCACACATATAGATATGCAAAAAAGCAAAAGTAAGTATGTCCTTCTCCCCTTTTCTGCAAACAATCCTTGCTACTGTATTTTAAAATCAGCTCTGCAGGCAAATTGCTAGTAACATGAATACAAACTGTGTGATTACATCTACACCTACCCCTCACTTAAGGTCTGTCTTGTTATCTGACATTTCACATTTATGGCGATAAAATATCTACTGTCTATTTCACACATTAATGAGGAGCTTAGGTGCAGCAGGAGAGAGTAAGTTTCTGATCATCTATTCATAGGGTTGCTATGAGTTGTAGTTGACTTGACAGCATCTAACAGCAACAACTAGGGACCTTTCCAAACTCTTGAGGACTAGTGATGTCAGTTTGAGGACTAAGGTGCGTCTGATTCAGGCCATGGTCTTTCCTATTACTAGCTATGCATCTGAGACCTGGACAATGAATAAGGACGACAGAAAAAGAATCAATGCCTCTGAGCTTGGTGTTGGAGAAGAGCACTGAACATTCTATGGATGGCCAAGAAAATGAACAGATATGTCTTGGAGAGGGTGCAGCCAGAGTGCTCTTTGGAGGCAAGAATGATGAGGCTTCATCTCGCATACGTTGGACATATTGCTAGGAGGTGCTATTCCTTGGGCCGCTACTGCTCTGAGGATGTGGATAATCCCTGACCCCTACCAGACACCCTTACCCCTTAAGGACTCTGTGGTGGAGGAAGGTGTGGAGGGAGAAAGGGTCCATCACATCACATCACATCACATCACATCACATGTATCCTTAGGCACAATGTGGGTAGCCAACAGGTAGTGAATGGGGGTGACAATGGTGCCAAAGATAGAGTATCGCCCTGATTCTCCAATAAGGCTGATTTTCCCACGACAACCTGCTTTTTTGGAATCTAATGATGTTGTCAAGTGAGAAGTATGAATATGTATAAAGTTAAAGAACAAGGAAAACTGAACTAAGACAGTAGAAATCAGACCAGTAGTTGCCTGAAGTGGGAACATTATCTGGTAGGGAGCTGGAGGAAATCTTCCAGGGCTTGGAAATGTCTACTATTATCTTGGTCTGGGGAGTAGTTTCTGGAGTAACTTGGTGCATGTTGTTTTGAACAGAAGCCACTCTCTTTTATATATATATATATACGCGTTCCCGTCAGAGATGACTCGTAGCAGCCTCTCCAGCGGGTTATTAGATGCTGTACATTGAACGAGAGGAAATTGCTCATCTTCCTGAGGAGCAGCTGGTGGATTCGAACCGTGTGACTTTGGGTTGGCAACACAACTCCTTACCACTAAGCCACCAGAGCTCCCTTTCTCGATGGCAGCCACCTGAATTTTATGCTTTAGCTCTTTGTTTGGTGCCACTCACTGCCACATGGCATATCTGAGTTTAAGAGTTGCAGTATTTGGGGGACTCAGAAGCCTTATTCTTGCCTATTATTTGGGGGAACCTGGGCCACAATGGGAGAAACAAGGTCCCTTCCTGCCCCTTGATGGAATAAAGGGTTTTCATATCTGGCAATGCCTACTTCTTTGATCTCAAGTGAGAAGAGCCCAGTCTGACCCCCCTCGGATAGTCCGGCCCAGCCTCCTCACCTGTCAATGGCGATGGCCAGGAGGGCGTTGGTGGAGACATAGAGTGAGACAGTGCGCAGGTAGTTGACCGAGGCGCAGAGCACGTGGCCGTGCTCCCAGGAGAGCTGACGTACCACGTAGTAGTCCATCTCGAAGGGGCAGCAGACGATGGCCACCAGGAAGTCGGAGATGGCCAGGTTGGCAATGAGCAGGTTGGTGAGGTTACGGAGCTTCTTGTAGCGGGCCAGGGCAGCAATGAAGACAAAGTTGCCAACGCCACAGATCAGCATGATGCCGGCCAGTGCCATGCCGATGATGATCTTGGCTGCGTAGAAGGTCCTGGTCTTGGTCATGTCCTCGTCCTCATCCAGAGGGAGGTCATAGTCACCGTAACTGAAGTTGAAGGGGAGAGAGGAAGCATGGGGGGAGTTGAAGTTGGGTGCAAAACTAGTGTTTCCATTCTGGGCTGCCATGGTCTCAAAGGAGTTGTGGGGGTGCTCAAGTGCACCAGGCTAGGCCTCCGAAACCTCTGCTCTCATGGAATCAGGGAGTCCAGCATCTCAGTCTACATCCTCGAGAAGGCAACAGGCCATTGTGGATCCTGGAATGGGATACAGTCAGTGGGCAGTATGAAGACTATCTGATAGCATTCTCCCAGATTCCCCAGCTACAGGTCAACCAGAGACACCGGCCACTACCGAACTAACTACCTGTCGTTCATTGATTATGCAAAGGCATTTGACTGTGTGGATCATAACAAACTGTGGCTGACTCTGAGAAGAATGGGAATCCCAGAACATTTAATCATGCCAATGCGAAACCTATACTTGGACTAAGAGGCAGTCGTCAGAACAGAGCAGGTTAACACCGCATGGTTCAAAATTGGGAAGGGTGTACGCCAGGGATGTGTCCTATCTCCAAACCTTTTCAACCTGTATGCAGAGCAGATTATCCGAGAGGCTGGGCTCTATGAGGAGAAGTGTGGCATCAGGATTGGTGGAAGGTCTATTAACAATCTGCGTTATGCAGATGACACAACCCTGCTTGCTGAAACTGAGGAGGACCTCATGCACTTGCTGCAGAGGGTCAAGGACTGCAGCCTTCAGTATGGCCTGAGGCTCAATGTCAAGAAGACAAAGATTTTCACCACTGGACCAATGGGTAGCATCAGGATGGATGGCGTAGAGATTGAGATTGTTCACAGCTTCAGTTTGCTCAACTCCACGGTCAACACCCTTGGCACCAGCAGCCAGGAAATAAAAAAAATGTATTGCGAAGGGAAAGTCTGCTGTTAGGGACCTCTCTAAAGTACTCAAGAGCAACGGTGTCTCTCTGGAGACTAAGGTGAGCCTGATACAGGTCATGGTCTTTGCAATCACTTGTTATGCATAAGAGAATTGGACAATGAATAAGGGAGGATAGAAGGAGAATGATGCTTTTGAGCTGTGGTGCTGGACAAGAGTATTGAATGTACCATGGACTGCCAAGAAAACAGATTCATCCTGGAGATTAAACCAGGCTACTCCTTGGAGGCAAGGATTCTGCGGCTTTGTCTGACATACTTTGGACATGTTTTAAGGAGAGACAAGTCCTTGGAGAGGGACATCATGCTTGGTAGGGTGGAGGGACAGCGCAGGAGGGGATGACCCTCTATGAGATGGATTTATTCAGTGACTGGGGTAATCGGGATGGGTGTGTCAGAGGCAATGCGATTGGCACAGGATAGAGTAGGGTTTAGGTCTGTTGTACATAGGGTCCCTATGAGTTGCAAACAACTCGACGGCACATAACAACAACAACAACCTGTCATTCTGGGAAGAGAGAACATTAGACAAGGGATGAATTGAACACTCCCAAAACACCCGGCAAATGGGGATGGGTTAGCTGCCTGGTTTCCCTTAAAATAACTCCAAAGGGCTCTGGATGCTTTCTGGGGCTGATGCCTGCAGCTGGCCCAGCTGTCTACAGCAGCCACAATGTTGCACCAGGCCAAGGACAAGGGAGCATGAGGGCTGGGACCAAAGAGGGACTTTCCTCCTGAGCAGGTCACTGCTCTCTTTGTGCTGGCCAAACCACTGACTTATAAATCACCAAATCCACTTCTGCATGGACAGGCTGAGTCATCCTGGGCCAGTGATTTGTGGTCCCTGAGCCTCACTCTTCTTGTAAAACAAATTCCTGCCAGAGGCCTGGTAGAGAGAAGACTGGAAAAGCATCTGTTGAATGAATGAACCAGGAACTGCTTGATAATATTGCTGCTGCTGCTGCGGGAAGGGGCCTGGGGTGGAGGGGGGAGGTGTTTTCTGGCTGCTCTCCTGTTCTCTGGAAACCAAGTTAAACACAATTTCTTTGTCTGCTGCTTCTCTCTCCTCCTCCCACCTTGACAGAATCAGAACCCTCTCACCAACCCCTAGTTGCCCATCTAGAATCTTTGAAAAGGAGACACCATCTCTTATCCTTCAGACCTGTGTCTTTGGGTCCCTCCAACACCTGGCTTAACAGAGAGCTGACCCCTCAGATGGACCGTGTGGATCCAGCAGAGCCCAAGGGCTGAGCTGTCCTCACTGAGGAAACCCTTTATGTCCTGGGTGGCAAGATGCCCTGGAGGAAGAGAAGTGTCTCAAGTATTTAGCAGAGAATGGGGCACAGTAGAGTCTAGTGCGTTACTGAGAGACCAGAGAAAATACCAGCACCGTGAAACCCAGAGGAAGGGGCCCTGAACACTCTCCCCAACTCATAATACACTTGAGATACCACCAGGTTTGGAGTCGGTGGGGGTGCTGCTAGTCTAAAGTGGATCAAACTGGAGGGCAGGTTTGTCCCGCCTCTGAGAGAAGAGGGGAAGGGCGAGGGGTATAATTCGTAGAGGTGGTTAGAACCCCAACCTCCAGTGCGCCCGTCTGCTGTGTGCTGGGCTGGAGACCTCTGAGGAGTGAGCTCCTGGCCCCTGGATCTGCTGCGGGGTGTCCTCCCTCCCATTCGCCTCACCGTCCTCATGAGTCCCCAGCCCTTCTGTGCTGGGTTGTCCTCTGACTGCTCCCTCAGGCCCTGTACTTTCCGAGTTAATTGGCTCTGCCCCTTGACCACCCTGCTCCAGGTGCCCCTTCCCCGTTCTCTCTCCTTCAAGACCCTCCCCGCGCCGCCAGTGTCCCCAGAGGCACCGCCCTAACTCTGGCCACCCGCAAGTCTCAAATACTGGTTCCAAACGCCAACCCGGCGGCAGGCGACCACATGCCAGTGGAGGGGAGGATATAGTCAAGGCGACGGCCCCATGGACCTTCCTCTTCCCTCTCACCTTTCGATCAGATCCAGATGCGCCCCAGCACTTGGGTGCTCATCTGCTGGCTCCTCTGTCCCCGCACGCCCGGCCCCAGCTGACCGTTCCCGGTCCGGACCCAGTGGCTCCTCCGACTCCAAGTCCCTATTCAGAGCTTGCCGGGCTGAGTCCTGCGAGCGTCAGCGAGCAAAAACAGACCGGCGTCTCCATCACTCCGGGTCGGGGAGGTTCCCCCAAGTGAGCCCCAGGCAAGCCCTAGGCAGCACTTACCTGTCCTGGTGTCTCGGCTGCAGAGCGAGGAGAGGGTTGCAGCGGGCTCTGCCCCTCGATCCCTCCTCCGACCCCCTGACTCGCTCGGAGGAGCCGCGCTTTCTTCTCCTCCCAGCGTGCGGCAGGTCTCGTCTCAGCCTCTCCTCCCGCCGGAGTTGGTGCTCCGCCCCTCAGCTCTACTCTGCGCCTCGAACGTGGGGCTGTGAGCTCGATTCCGCCCGGCGTCGCTCAGCCCCCGACGCGCAGATGCAGAAGGTGGGCTGCGCGGGGCTCCGGCTCTCGGCCGCGCGCTCTCACTGGCGCGCACAGGGCGCGGGGCGCACGGAACTCCCGCCGCGCTGGCGCGGCTCCCGGCTCTGGAGTGGACGCCTCGCAGGGTGTCTACACGCTCCTACCTCGGTCTGAATGAGGACACAATGGCCACGATAAGATGGTGAGATTCCGAGGAACAGATCCCACAGGGGTCCTTCGTGCGGGCGCAGAGCATCCTGTCTGCTGCTGGAGCCCGGGGCCAGTGCCCACCCCGCTTCACTGCACCTTCCTGCAGAAGGAGCCTGGGCAACGCAGCCACAACGCGCTCGAGAGCTTGGCTAGTTCTCGCCAAGTACAGTGTGGGTCTCTGCAGGGTGGCGGGGGAGGATCATGACGGCCGCAAGGAGGAGGCTAGAGATGGAGACAACCTGTCCAGCTTAAAGCCGAGACCCTGAAGCTGTCACTCATACGGAGGTGACAATCATCGCCTGTTCTTTGACGCCCTATGCAAAGTCAGCTCATCCAGATCCGTCTGCTGTGATGGAGCTCTGCCTCGGGAGTCCTCCACTGTGCTGGAAATTTTAGGCTGTGATTTTCGGCACTTCGCATAACCTTGGCGTCTGTATATTCTAACTGAAGGGGAACCAAGTGGGAGTCACCACGGGAGCTGAGAGCGAAGAGCGAAAACCCGCTGCTGTGCACTATCTGAACAAAGAGCTGAGCCAGGAAACTCTGCGTCTAAATGGAGTTTTCCGTCCCGTGCGATTACAGAACATGAACTTAGTTTTATCAGATCTTTCTATTTTCTGAAAGAATCCGGAACCAGACCTTTTCAAGTACTCTGTTGTGGTGGTGTGTGTCTTCCAGCGGGAATCGACCAATAGCTACAGCTGGTTTTCAGAGGCAGAGAAATCACAGGGGAGGAGGTTGCCCATTCTTCTCCCGCTCTTTTGTTGGTTAGATCAATACAGAACACATCGCCTGCTGAGTTCAGTCGGCTGGGTGGTGGTTAGGTTCAGTAGAACAGGTTCCCCCTCAGAGTAATCCTGTATATACGCCTTTCCCCATACCACCCTCACATTCCATGCTATGTTTGGACCCCCGGTTGTATAGCCATTGTCAACCCGTCAAGCATGATGTCCTTCCACTGGCTTATTCATCTAAAGTTCCTGCATCTGTGATTCTAAAATCTCTGGGTCGGGACACTCTGTGATGTCTTCTGCTAGGGCTTTCCCAACTTGGTGTGAAATGAAAACTGAAACTAACTCCACCTCCCTTTAGCATAGAACCTGGTGCTATGGAGAGACAGAGCAACTTTCAGATATGGAGACAAAAGGAGGCCCCGTTGGAGGAGGGATGGTGGCCAGGTGGCCGCTTAGGTCCTTGGACACACTCTTTAAAGACTCCTTTCAATGTTGTGCACACTTAGTCACCTAGCTATCAGACCCACGGGCTGCGCTCCCCTCGCTTATGGAACTCCTCTGCCACGTGGTGAGTTGACAGCCATCCTCTGGGATAGGGTTAGGGCAGTGTCACTTCTACACAATTCTAGAAATCCATGTTGTTGTTGTTGCCACTGATTCAGAATTGACTCATAGCTGACCTTCCAACCGGTTTTCAAAGGCAATAAATAGCATGAGACTGCCCATCCCTCTCCCTGGGGAGCAACTGGTA